TTTTTACAGATGGGTGGCTCCTAAAGGAGCCATTTGTTTATAAAATGCCTTACCGAGAAGAGTCAAATCAAGAGCTTCCTTAGACCATGTAGAGTAAATTGAATCTGTTTGCCATGCTGTGTTGGTAAATGCCATAAATCCATCTAGGAAGAAAGGGTAGCAAAATAKTGGTCTGTACATATAGTAGCTGTAATCCATTCAGTCTGATTAATGGTGAAAAGCACTGCCATGGATCTTCATCATGTGATCTGAGATTAATTTGCTTGATTTGCTTTTCTGCAGCATGTGTTATCAGTGAGCTTAGATAGAGCTTTCAGTGTATCAAYAGGGCATCATCTCAGGTTCTCAGGGTCTAAGTCGCAGCTATGAAATGGGTAATTGACAGTATTCCACTCCCCATATTCAAATGTGATGTCGAGTTGGCCTTTGTTTATCCAGTATGTAAGAGCAAGCTGTTTATTGTCTGTTACCAAGAGCTTTACTGTGTGTTGATCTCTACCTTTGGATTGTAGTTTTCGAATACAGTACTGTTTAACCTCACTGATACTCAATCCAGAAATCACAGATATGAATTTTTGAAAAGAGTACATTGAGGTGAAACAGATTACTTCAGCTTTCTTGTTTTTTTTTATAAAGCATCTTGGTTCGTCAAAGCTTCCATCTCTGTTTTCAGATATGACACGTCTTGCTATTTTAAAAACACTATAAGGGATGCTTCTGCTTATTTTTTTCATGGTATGGTCTTCTGAATGCTACCCTTCCTCCTAGACGAATTTTGATCTTCTTTAACCAAAGTAATGATTCTTCGCTGATGACAGAGCCTGCATTCAAGGTTGCTGTAGATAGGAATCTAGCCGCTTTAAATGGAAAGAAAGATGTTATTAATTTTTTATTCTAATTTGTTGTTATTGTTGTTTGTTATTACTTTTTTCTTTGTTTTCTTTTTTTCTTTGTGTCATTGCGTGTCTTTTGATTAGATCAAAGTCCCTCTATTAGCTATGATTTGATTAATAATCACATTTTCTTAAGCTTAATTTTATTAACGTTTTATTAACATTAGCTTTAAAACAAGTTTTGCTCTGAAAGATCATTATTTTTTAGGG